ACATTATGTCTTCTTTGTTTAACTTTCTGTCTCTCTCATGAAAATGTGAACTGTTCAAAGGTTAAGAAAATGTCTTTTTTAAAACAATGTTTGTACTCCTAGCACAGAGCCTGGCACATTATAGACTCTGAGGAAATGTTGGTTCAGTTAAAGGCACTGAATTACTTCTTGTTCTATTTCAATTAGTTTTGTTTGGTAACCACTTATTTAAATAGTCAAAAATATGTCTGAATAGCACCTACATGCCATTTCTTACCAAACAGTTATTTTAGGTTCTTAATGTTAATTTAAAGGAGTATTTAGAATTTTACATTATATATTTTCGGTCTCTAATTTCTTTGCTTTGCTAGAACCAACAGATGACTCAGAAAGTTAAACTTTATGTGTTTACTATGGAAAAAATGTTGAATGTTCATTGACCTCTAGCCTTTTCCCCAGACATACTAATATTCATTCTTAACAGCATCAGCTCTATGCTGCTTGATTCACTTGTCACCAGTTCATTGCAAAGTTGCCACATAAACTGTACTTAAGGGTGGAGGGTGTGGATCCACTAGGCTTTTTCTGAGAAGTATCTTGCTTTAAAAAGCAACTGTAGAGATGCTGATGGTGAGAGTGATGTCATGTGTGTAGATACAGATTCATCTTCTGAAGACATGCATTTCTTTTAATTTTGGAAGGTACAGTTTTTTAGGCAAAAGAATGGGAGGAGAGAAACAATTTGATGATTCAAATTTAAAACGGGAAAGACGCTCCTGTGTGTCATATTTTGGCAGGCAGGGACAGAGGGATCAATGCACCTTTCACATTTTCCCAAGGTGAGAATTGTACTAACTTTAAGGTAAACTGGGAGAAGGCATTAGTTGGTAGAATATGTTTTTAGAGTAATAAATTTTTAGCAGGGTTGAATAAGCATTTTTCTATGTTAATCATTGAAGGGAAACCAAAATAATAATTTTTTTGACCAAGAGTAGAACTGAAAATTGTGTCACTATCACCAGCATCTAAAGAAAGTTATAAGGTAAGTCTGTGATTATATTTGAGTCTCAAGCATTTTACTGTTAAAACATATTGGAAACAACCTGGTATTACCTTATCTTAAAAAAGCAAACAAACAAACAAAAAAAACCTATCTCTTAACAAAATTTCCACACCAACCTGGTTTCTCTGCTTCTTTTTACAGCAAAGGTCAACGAAAGAGTTACCTATACTTCCAGTCTCTAATTCCTCTCCTTGTATCTCTCATATATGTACTCTTCTCAGGTTTTTGCCATTCCACATCCCACCAATGTTGCTCTCATCAAGGTCAACAAAGACCCTCAGGCACTAAATTCGATTCTCAGTATCTTACTTGACTTAGCAGCATTTTACACAGTTGATAATTCCTGTTTCCTGAAATCTCTTTCTTCACTTAGCTCCCAGGACACCACACTTTCCTGGATTTATTTCTGTATTTCTTTGTGTCTTTTCTCTCTCCACTTTTTTAGTTTATCTTTCTTATTATCCTGTCCTCTTAATGTTGGCTTGGTCTGGATCTCAGACTTTAGAAAGCCCCCTCTCTATTCTTCCTATTTTGCTGATCTCCTGTGCCTCATGGCTTAAATATTATCCAGTGTCAACAACTGCCAAATTTGTATCTTTGTCTCAGAGCGCTCCCACGATTTCAGGACCATATATCCAGCTGACTATTTGAAAAATCTGTTCATAGGCTGAGCATGGTGGCTCACGCCTGTAATTTCAGGACTCTGGGAAGCCGAGGTGGGTGGACCAGGAGGTCAAGAGATTGAGACCATCCTGACCAACATGGTGAAACCCTGTCTCTGCTAAAAATACAAAAATTAGCTGGGCGTGGTGGCACACACCTGTAGTTCTAGCTACTCAGGAGGCTGAGGCAGGAGAATCACTTGAACTCTGGAGGCGAAGTTGCAATGATCTGAGATTGTGCCACTGCACTCCAGCCTGGCAACAGAGTGAGACTTTGCCTCAAAAAGAAAAGAAAAGAAAAATCTATTCAGATCTCTAATAGGTATTTCAAAATTAACATGTCCAAAAATGATTCTTACTCTTGTCCTCCCCACAAATTTGCTTCACTCACATACCCTGTATCAGTTAAGGACAACTTCAAATTTCTACTTGCTCAGGCCAAAAATCTTAGGATCATTTTTGCCTACTTTCATTCTCTTAGGTTATATTCATTCTATCAGAATGTACCTTGACTCGACCTTCAAAATATATACAGGGTTTTGCCACTTCTTAAAATCTCTGCTCCTCCCTGGATCTAACCTATTGATATCCCTCATTGGGATTATTGTAATAGTTTCCTAACCGGTCTCTCATTTTTATACCTGTCCCTATCCAGTGTATTCTCAAACAATATTGTGAGTGGTCTTGTTAAACTGTAACCCAGAGCAGATCATTCTTCAACTTGAAATGCAAGGGCTTTCTATGTTTTTCAGAACCAAGTCCTTACAATGACTTTTACAACTCTGCTAGGCCCCTTTACTTCTCAGACGTCCTCTGTAACTTTACTCCAATCACAATGGGTTTCTCACTTTTCCTTGAACCTACCAGGTGCTATCCCACATCAGGACCTTTGAACTGACTTTTCGCTTTTCCTGAAATGCAATTCCTCCAAGTAACATGTATGGTATGGCTCTATCTATATCGCTCTTCAAGTCTTTCCTCACTTGTCACCTCTTCAGTGAGGCCTATTCCAAATAAGACATTTAAATTTGCAACCTCTTTGCCTGTGTACTCCAAATGTATATTACTCTTGGTCAATTTTTTTTCTGCAGTTCTTTTTATCTTTTAATATTTTTTATATATGGCAGAAATAATGGTTTGTACAGCTCAGTAGATTGCTAGGCTATAGTCTCAGTCCTCTTGCATTTAGGTGGGACATGTGACTCATTTTTGCCAATGGAATGTATGAGGAAGTGATGTATATCATCTCCAGGCCAAGATCTTTAAGAGCAGGTGTTCCTTTTCCATGTTCATTTCTTTTCTTCATTTCTTGGCTAGATGCAGATGATTGGTGGGAGCTGCTAAAAGGAAGGAGCCTAACTTTCTGCATCACAGTGCAGAAGGATGTCCATAGAGCACCTAGTTAGACTGTGATGTGAGGAAGAAAGCAATCTTTATTCTGTCCCATTGTTATGTTCAGCCTCTATTCTGATTGGTTAATGCCTGTGCTGAGGTAGAACGCTTCATCACTGATAGGCATACAAATGGATAATGTATTCTCTTGAAGCAGTGGGCTAGGTAATAGCTGTTAATGGAGGGGAGTGGCAATAAATAAAACATGGATATTTTAGGCATGGTAAACAATTTTGACAGTCTCCTTAAATGAATTCAATAAAGATCATATGTCTTCAAGGTTATGAGAATTGATGATAATTTGGGCTAGTTTGTCTGAAATTTATATCTTAACTTGCAAATTTGAAGAAATTCAAATATATATATATTTTTTAATATTGTAGATGTTTATAAACAAGCATTTAACTTAAACAGTTATTCTTGTTAACATAAGTTTAAACAAAACTCTAGTGAATACATGCCTTGTTTTCCTAGCCATGACATGCATGCTAACATGTGATCTATACCCTGCAGAGTAACAACTGAATCTTAGTTGGGAACAGATTGTGTCAGATAGGATACTGCAGAGAAAGAAGAGGAGAAGGCTCTACATTCCTGAACAGATGGCATAGTAGATCTTAGGGACAGACATGGAGCTGAATCCCAGGCAAGGCAGAAATCTTAGATAATGAGATAGAACAAGGGAGAAAGATCTCTGACCCTACTATAGATGTCTGAGTCAGAAATTGGGAGCCAATTATTGTATTTATGGTTCCAGAAACTAAGTAAATTTTCAGGTGAAAGGAGAAGAGTTCAGGTGCTACTGAAGGTTTCAGTGGTGATGGCAGGGAAAGAGCAGACATTTTCGCCATTACTACCCAGTAAGTGCCACGAAAATGCTTTATTAATAAACCAAAGGGTTGAGTAAGCAGTCAAGTTTAATTTATGGATTTAAAAATGACTAATAAACAATCTTCAGTTATTTAATGTGTTAAAATATGTTTGATTATACTTTGGTAATAATCTGAATGTAAATTTTATTTTTATAACATCAACTTACTCTTGTTTATGTGAGCCAATTTTTAAAAATGAACAGTGTATATAATGACATCTTGGGATACAAAGTAAATATATTATTTGTACAAAAGCCACTTAATTAACAGTAACTTAAAATAATCATTTTTTTTAAAAAAAGACAGCATTATTTTAAGAGACATATGCATTATCCCTGTGTGCCCAGAACTAGTGTGCATGTAAGTGACCATGAGTGTCAATATTTTCAAAGTCCATGGGCCAAGCATGTTTCTTCAAAATGCAGAAAATTGGAATTTTCATATGTAATCTCACGTGCTTGACTTTCTACGACAGGAAATTACCGTTTGTTTCTAAATTGAACAGTTAGGAAAATATCTGGATTATATAGCTGCTGATTTTGTGTTGAAATAGACATTTGTTTCAAGAAAAACTGCCCCAAACCACAGTGATTAGGATTCAATGCCCAAGTGTATGGCACTTCATTGGTAAGAATGAGGGATGAGCAAAGTTGTACTTACTCATTTTTGCTCTGTTGGATCTAGTTGTGTTTTCGTGGTAGCCTGGAAGCAGTGTTGACCCTCAGCCTGCTTGCTGAAGATATGATGGCTGATGTTACTGGCCTTTTATCAGGTTTCTTCATATTGTGTCCATATTACCCTCTCACGGTCCATAGGCAGGATGTGAGTGTTTTGATGAATCGTTCAGAGGTTGTTCACTTTTGATTTTACGTTTCAAGGGAATCAAATCAAGTATCTTAAGGAGATCACGCTATAGTTACTACCCTAGTTAGAGCCACATTTGGTAACACTATGTGAAAGGATAATGTTTTGAGAATTTTGTTTTTAAAAAAGATTTCTCTCTCCCTGTTATTTTCTCTTTCTTTAATGCAGGTAAAATATTGGCTGTTTCCTTTCCTCAGAAATGGTTTATGGAAGATCATAAATATAAAAATAATAGCTAAAATTTATTGGAATACCATTTACATGCCAGGGCTTTACTAAGCATTTACAGATGGGAACACTTAATTCTCACAGCATCCCTGAGGTAGGTACCATTGTAATTCCCATTGTTCAGGTGAGTGTAAAGCTGCAGCAGCTACATTATGATTCTGCAAAGCAGAAATTGCTGTCTAGCACTTTCCTTTCTAGCAAGGTGTATTAGTTCACTCTTACATTGCTATAAAGAAATACCTGAGACTGGGTAATTTTTAAAGAAAAGAGGTTTAACTGGCTCACAGTTCTGCAGGTTGTACAAGAAGCGTGGTAGTATCTGCTTCAGGGGAGGCCTCAGGGAACTTACAATCACGTCAGAAGGGAAACTCATTCATGAGAACTCCACCCCCATGATCCAGTCACCTCCCACCAGGTCCCACCTCCAAATTAGGGATTACAGTTCGACATGAGATTAAAGTGAAGACAGACATCCAAACCGTATCGTGAGGTTTCCAAAAGCCAAAGTCCCTTGAGAAGATTAAAATTGATGTCCTAGAAATAGAGAAGAATGGAAGTGGCTCTAAGAGAAAAACAAGATAGAGGAGGATTTTTTTTTTTAATGAGACGGAGTCTTACTCTGTTGTCAGACTCGAGTGCAGTGGTGCAATCTCGGCTCACTGCAACCTCCACCTCCTGGACTAAAGCAATTCTTCTGAGAGTAGCTGGGACCACAGTCACGTGCCACCACGCCTGGCTAATTTTTTTGTATTTTTAGTAGAGACGGAGTTTCACCATGTTGGCCAGGATGGTCTCAATCTCTTGACCTCGTGATCCACCTGCCTCAGCCTCCCAAAGTGCTGGGATTACAGGCATGAGGATTTTTTAAAAATATATATATTTAATTGTATTTTAGATTTTTGGATACATGTGAAGAACATGTAAGATTATTGCATAGGTACATACATGGTAATGTGGTTTGTTGACTTCCTCCCCATCACCTATATCCGGCATTTCTCCCCATGTTATTCCTCCCCAACTCCCCATACCCTGCTGTCCCTCCCCTAGTCCCCTAGTCCCCCCCACAGACCCTAGTGTGTGATACTCCCCTCCCTGTTTCCATGAATTCTCATTGTTCAACACCCACCTATGAGTGAGAACATGTGGTGTTTGATTTTCTGTTCTTGTGTCAGTTTGCTGAGAATGATTTCCAGGTTCATCCATTGTCCCTACAATGGACACAAACTCATCGTTTTTGATGACTGCATAGTATTCCATGGTGTATATGTGCCACATTTTCCCTGTCCAGTCAATGATAATTGATGGGCATTTGGGTTGGTTCCAGGTCTTTGCTATTGTAAACAGTGCTGCAACGAACATTCATGTGCATGTGTCCTTATAATAGAATGATTTATAATCCTTTGGATATATACCCAGGATTGGGTATTGCTGGGTCAAATGGAATTTCTATTTCTAGGTCCTTGAATTGCCACACTGTCTTCCACAATGGTTGAACTAATTTATAATTTACACTCCCACCAACAGTGTAAAAGTGTTCCTATTTCTCCACATCCTCTCCAGCATCTGTTGTCTCCAGATTTTTTAGTGATTGCCATTCTAACTGGCATGAGATGGTATCTCAATGTGGTTTTGATTTGCATTTCTCTAACAACCAATGAAGATGAACAGTTTTTCATATGTTTGTTGGCCTCATGAATGTATTCTTTTGTAAAGTGTCTGTTCATATCCTTTGCCCACTTTTGAATGGGTTTGTTTGTTTCTTTCTTGTAAATCTGTTTTAGTTCTTTGTAGATTCTGGATATTAGCCCTTTGTCAGATGCATAGATTGCAAAATTTTTTCCCATTCTGTTGGTTGCCAATTCACTCTAATAATTGTTTCTCTTGCTGTGCAGAAGCTGCGGAGTTTGGTTAGGTCCCATTTGTCTGTTTTGGCTTTTGTTGCCAATGCTTTTGGTGTTTTGGCCATGAAGTCCTTGCCTATGTCCTGAATGGTTTTGCCTAGATTTTCTTCTAGGGTTTTTATGGTGTTAGGTCTTATATTTAAGTCTTTAATCCATCTGGAGTTAATTTTAGTGTAAGGTGTCAGAAAGGGGTCCAGTTTCTGCTTTCTGCTCATGGCTAGCCAGTTTTCCCAACACCATTTATGAAACAGGGAATCCTTTCTCCATTGCTTGTTTTTGTCAGGTTTGTCAAAGAACAGAGGCCTTGGAGGTATCTACATCCATCTGATTTTTGAGGAGGATTTTTTGGTGGCTAAAGTGAGACCAGAAAAAGAAGAGAGATTTGTGGATCTCAGGAGAAGCAAGAACTTGCCATTTGCTTCCTGAGCAGGAATTAGTATTCTACGGCAGGGTCGGAAAATACATATAACCTATGGACCAAGCCCAGTCGGTTGACTGTGTTTTATAAATAAATTTTGTTGGAACACAGCTATGCCCTTTTATTTACATATTGTATGTAGCTGCTTTCACTCTACAATGGCAGAGTTGAGAAATTGCCATAGAGACCATATGGCTTGCACAAAGCCAGAAATATTTACTGTCTTGACCTTTAGAAAAAATGGTTACCAGCCTCCATTCTGTGGTGTTGCTGTCATCATATCTATTTTAGGTGAGGCTACTTTACATCAATCTGATACTCACAAATTATTTTCCTGTGTTGTGTGACTCTGTTAAAACTCATGTAGTATTCTAAGAGTCGTGGGTTAAGCTAATTCTTGAACAGATTTTTGTGGTTTAATATCATTTAAAAATTAGACTTTATTTTGATTTCTAGATATATGTCTTTCATTTGCTGAAAGTAAAACAAAATTAATTTTTCTAAGTACATGTACTTCATAATCGTTTATTTTTAATGCATATTTTAGAAACTGTAACTTTGTTTTTTTTTAGCATTGTCTATTGCATACCTCTTCTTTTCTGTCAAGCAATTATTACTGCCCCCCCACCCCAGTTTCACTGATTCACCCTCCTTTGCAACAATTTAAAATAGTGCCAAGGAAAGTTGCTTGTTCCTGTCTTGAATCTGTCAAGCTGTTAACTAGTTTCTTCTCAGGTGTCTGCTGAAGATGAAGCAGGTTTTCAACAACTGTTTCAGGGACTTTTTGGTGAGGTTTGCATCATTATTTTCAGCTACAAGAGGGTCCTGACCAAGAAGAGGTAATACTTTTGTTCCTTGTGCTCTAAATATTTTGCCAAATTGCCATCTTCATATAGATTAGTAACTCCACATTTATTTGGTACAGGCAACAGAGCCCATAGAATAATTTATGATCTAAATGGAGCTTGAAATAGCAGAATTGCCGTTAGTGGTTAAAAATTAATTTAGAAACCACTGTCCGTTAGTGTAATGATTTACCATTGTTTTTGATCCATGTTGTGGAACTTAAGAGTGTTAATTAAGAATTATGGTGTAGGCCAAATAGAATCTGGTAAAGTTTCATGTTGAAGCAAAGCAATCAGTTATTCAATTATTTTGAATCTAATAGACATTTTCATGTTTACAGATTAAGTTGTGATTGATACTATTTAATGTCAAGGATGTGAATCACACTAATACCACATACTATTCTATAATTTGTATTGTCTAAGAGATGAATATGTACATCTTTTGTGAATTTTAAAAACATTAACAAGAAAAATATACCAAGTTAGAAGCACTTGAATAGATTCAGGATTGAAGTAAGCTTTAAAGAGGATAATTTTGTAAATCAGAAAAAGGGTGGTGATTTTTAAGGGTTGGACTGATTTGAAGAGGTATCAAATAAACAAAAATTAATAACGATGAAAACGTGAAGATTCATAGGGTGTTTAAAAAATGTGGTCTGTCTCAGAACAGTGTATCCCTGAAGCAAAGCTCAAAAATGTTTCCCCTAGGGAGCTACCTGAAAATTCCTACTAAAAGCGGTGATGGTGAAGATAATGGCCATTAATATTTTACAGCATTTTCCAGATTATGATGCCAGTTCTCAAAATGTAGCTCATTTGATTTTGATGGTAGCTCTGTAAGGTATCTCGATTCTCTGAATTTCTTTAATTATATTTGCCTCTGTTTCTCTCAGTGGTGCTTTATCAAGGATGTATGTCCGTGTCACGTAGGATTCCAATTCAGGAAGTACATCTGAGATTTAGGCTCCCCTACCTTTTTAAAATCCCCTTCCTAGGTGATTCTAACACATAACATCAGTATAACTTGTATAACAATTTAATATGCTGCCTTGCTTATATTTGTTTTCAAGTTTGATTTTTCGAGCTAGGCAGCAATTATTTAATGATTTATATATAATTATTTAATGAATTATAAGGTTATCCAAAACAAAACAGTTTCATAAAATAAGAGTTCTTTATTTTACATATACAGAAGCATATCACTTAGAAATTAAAACTTGGCAGTAAAATATTTTTTTAAATCTCATTTGACAAGAATTGAATTCGCTCCAGTTAATTTAACCACTCTTTTAAAAGTAGTAGGTAGACAGCATTGTATTAGCTGACGCAATGGCTTCCGAGCTGAGTAAAACATCATTCTTGCTTTCAAAGAGCTTGCAATGCAAGAGGTGAGATAAAACAAAGCAGAATATTGTTACAAGAAGACATTCTCTAGTTAAATGAGAATTATTACAGTGAGCATAATTAGGCTGTCAATGACCAAAGAAATCAGAATGCAGCACCTGATACCCAAAATCCATTGCATGATTGGTAACATTCTTCTGAAGCCTGTTGAAGAGGTATGATCTCTCCCTCTCCTCTAATGTGTTGGAAATCAGGAGAGTCTGCCTGTAGTGGGAGACGAGCAGACACACTAAAAACTGAAAAATACAATGGTGTGTAAGGAAAGTGCAGATTACAAATGAAGAGAGGGTCTGAGGCAAGTTTAGGAGACAAATGAGAGTTAAAAGACAAGAACAAGTTGATTGAAAATGGGACAAAATTTGTGACTAACTCTGCCCAGGTTTATGTGTACTCCCAGAAAATGTTTGTAGTCAGGAGCCTAGGTGCATTTAAAAGGGTTGTGACAGGTGGCAACTTAGAAAGAAGTACCAAAATGGTATTATGTATGGTTAGTTGGATAATGATAAATAAAAGTTATTTTGCA